CCACCCTGTCCTTTGCAATGTCTCTATCAGTGAGGGAGGGAGGAAGGTATCCAGGTTTAAAGATCTTCTTCTCAACGTAACCTCCAGGTTCTCCTCCAACCTGGACCTTGGTCATTTCAATTGTTTTTTCCACGCTTGACCCAAGATGCCCGGAGCAGGCTGAGCACCGGCAGCACCACTGGCTGTTTGGTCGAAGCAACCTCCCACCCTCCTGCTTTGCTGGGCTGGGAAAAAAGTAAAAGCCTCTTTGTTGACTGCAGATGTGCATATGAATGTGAGGCATTTGCCTAATAAATATCTTCCCGAAGGGGGATTAATTAGCATCCCAAGATTTGCTCTCACTGCATTCCCTCTGACTGCAGCAGCTCTGCAGCACCTTCTCTTAGGGATGCTGATCTTCCCCTGAGAACGTATTGCTGGCCCCTTTCCTGATGCACAGACCCCCAAGGCCAAGGATTCACAAATCTTCTGCTCAGGAACCGACACTGGCGGCAGCACCTGTGCCGTGACAGGGGTGTTGCAGTAACCATACACACATCCTGTTTTCCCCAGTCCTGCTATGCACTGTGACCCATCACAGCAGTGATGAAGGCTCCCTCCTTCCCTGGATGCCATGAATAAGTCACTATAAAACCTGACACACCAAATTATTTCCAGCTGGTAAAAATTCATTAATTGGTAACCAGAGCCGGAGGTGGCATGTGCTGTCACACACACAGATCTCTGCTGGCATTGGAGCTGGCTGACCTCTGCTTTGGGCACAGCAAAGGGGGAATACAGGCCTCTTTGGAGATACAGAACCTTGCAACCCAACATAGACCTCTAAAATAGATTGGATGAATCATGAGCTAAAAGCTAAAAGTTGGGTTTGTATGTAAAGGGAGTTCAGGGTGACAAGTTCGGCTGTGGAGGTCTCTCCAGGGGATATCTGAAGATTAATCTCTTCCTACAACTTTTTTTGGGTTGAAAGAATTTTGTGGGTTGTGAATTAAATACAAATGTTTCCCAAACAGTGTGCACGCCCACGGCTGGCTTTATCCTCTGCCGAATGGGGATTTTGGAGCTTGCGTGTGTGTTTAATGTACAATAACATCTATGTTGAAGAAACCCCACTCTAGATCAAAGCAACATTAAAATCTGAGCTATGTAGCAATTACTCAGAGATGTATCTAGAGCGTCTCAGTGCAGCTGTGAGGAATAGTTTCAAACAAGGAAGTCTTCAAGGCCAGGCTGGATGGGGCTCTGAGCAACCTGGTCTAGTGGAAGGTGCCCCTGCCCCTGGCAGGGGGATAGGAAATGGATGATCTTTAAGGCTTCTTCCAACCCAAATCATGCTGTGATTCTGTGGAGATTTAAAGCATCTTCAGCTGAAGAGGAGTATTCCCTGACACTGGGTATGATGTCTTTTTTTCCTGATAATTTTTTTGTTACAAGCTTAGATTAAAAAGAAGTCGGGTTTTCTTTGCAGATTTTAGCAGAGACTTTCACCTCAATTAGCTGTAGGAGACAGTGCTGTGCAAGCAGAGCAAAGCTCTGTGATGTATGGTAGAGGCTTCCCAGGGGCTGTGTTGGGACCACAGTGCCATGAAGGAGGGACCAGGACTACACGTGCCCTGAGAAAAGCTGAGAGCATGAGAGCTCTTATGCACGTGGGAATAACACAGATGGTGTGAGCCAGGAAATGTTAATTTCTTGAGGTTTTCAGTCCAGGACTTTGCACCTTCTTTGTAAATTAGCAACACTGCTTTGGAAAATTACCTGCCTCCACAGCCAGTTCCTTCTCTTGCTGTAAATAACCTCCAACCACCTGAATTTTGGCTACCTGCTTGGGTCAGCAGGGTAACGCTATTACAAAATCTGCTGCATCATGAACAACTCTGTCAATGTGTATCCATCTTTGCTAAGGAAGAAGAGGAGAACATGAGGTTAATGACTGTACTTTTGACCAACAGCTATTTTGCTGGTGTTTTAAACAATGATTGTTTTAACGAACGATCACCAAAGTATGGCTGTAGCTTTATGATCTTGTAAGGAGTCTGATGGGACTTGGATGAGTCTTATTTACCCTCCCCATGGCAGGCACTGCAGCCAGACTGCAGGCAGCGGGGGGGGGAAGCAGTTTGGAAAGGACCAGGGGGAGGTAAAAGGAGAAAAGCAGAAAGAAAATTGGAGTGGAGGAGGGTTGAGGATATTCTGTGGCAAAGAGAGGAAAATTAGATGTCAAACCAACCACAGACAGAAAACCTCGAAATGCAACTACTGAATGGCCTGGCCCAAGATGAGGTCTGCAATGACAAAGCAGGAAAAGATGTGACAAGGTTACTTAAAGTTTTTTCTGGCTACATTTGAGAGTCAGCTCTGCTGCTGAGCAAAGAAAACCCACATTTTCAGCTTGGCCTGTAAGGCTGCCCTGTAACTGCTTGTAATGGCCAGCAAGTGACCCAACTCCTCCAGCAGCACTGTGCATGTAGCCTTAGGGCAGGCAATATAGATCATCCCCTGTGTGGGTTGGGCTCATGTCAGAGCTGATTTTACACTGGTTTTTCCAGCACTTGATCCAGGCTGGGATTTTCCTTTCCTTGCATAATGCCTTTCAGCAAGGAGCTGAGGCAAATTTTCAGGTATTTCCAGTTTTCCTGTTCAGTGGTGCCTCCAGGCCATGATGCTGCGAGGTGCAGGCTCCATGTCCCTTTCCCTCTGTACACGGGGTGAGGGGACGCTAACTCTGAATGCCACAGAGACCTGGGCTTCTTCTGGAGAAGCAAAAACTATGGAAGAGAGGCATCTGACTCACCTCCCTCCTTTGCTGTCTGGGACGCCTTAAGCTCTTAAAATCACACTTCCCATAGCTGCCTGATGCTTTCTCATCTGCACAGAGATCCAGGAGCCCAGCATCCTCCTCAGGGGCAGTGAGCACATGGGGAGAGGTGTTGGGCATTGTCAGCTAGGGTCTGCAAAGGGGTTTTCAGGGAGTTGGAGGCAGACTCTGACCCGGCCACAGGCAGCAGCGCTCAGATGTGATCCCAGCAAAGGGCCCTCTGGACATCTGCTCAAGGAATGTTTCACCCCCAGAACTCACAGGTGGAGCAGAAGGACAGACCCACTGGAACAGGACACAGTCCCACGTAATTGGTTTCCAGTATCAGATGAAGACCTGCCCAGAGAAACAGAAGTCCCCATTTTCCTGGGACAGACAAAGCTTTAGCTTGGAGTCTGCTAAGCCCAGTTTAGTTTCCTCTGTGTGTGCTGCTTTGATTTTGCTGGAAACATGGCAAGTGCAATGTATTTCTTCTTCATAAGCCAAGAATGGTGGAGTTCACATTTTCAGGAAAGCCATCTGCATTTTCTATCACTGCCACTTGAAAAAGCTGATCGTTTAATATCTTCTTGATCTTCCAAGCTGCAATGCTTGTGAAAAAGGGCAGTGCTCCTCCTTTCCTGGGCCTGGCCATCCTTTTCCCTATGCCGTCCTTGTGCCGCCTCCCTCCTCAGCCCAGCCCTTCATCCTTGCACACCAAGAAAACATAGCTTGCCTCTGTCTCCTCTCAGCTCCTGTGGTGCCTTTGCTGCTGCCTTTCCCTCCATCCAGAGCTCATGGTCCACTACAGCCCACCTGAACTGAGAATTAGTTGGGGGATATTTGATGGATATGTCACATGGCAGCAGGTTTCCAAAGCTCAGTTAAAGAAAGCCATACTAAGGTTTTGCCTGACTCCTGGCAAAGCAGGCAGCAAGGCTCCAATGACCGCTGCTTACTTTGGCTCTGCCCTCCCTTCGTGGGGAGGTCCACCACTATCATCTGGAGCTCCTGACCAGAGCAGAGTGGTGTATATGATGTGGTTATAGGTAAGGAGCATCACAAGGGCATGTCCAAAATGAGACCTTCAGCCCTGCAACATCTGAGTGGAAACGCTTGGGTTCTGAGTGTGGGTCAGACATGAAAGTGTGGTGACAGCTCCCAGAAACAACAGCCCTGGCAGATACCAAGCCCCAAAGGCAACTGTCTCAGAATGTCCAGGATCTGAAGAGTGAAGGAGTGATTGGTCTTTTCAGTTTTCCTTCTGTTCTGGAACTGAATGGGGAGGTTTGACTTTCTCCTCTGACCAGGGCCACCACATGGTAGTGGGGGATGCTGTGATCCTCATGTGCCATATTTCCTTTAATAAACTGAAGTCCTAAAAACTTGTGAAGTTTGAAAGCTCTGGTGAAATTTTCAAAATGGTGAAGTTGCTATGTTGATTGCATTGGGCAAATTCAAAAAATACAGTGGCATCCCACAGCATCGCAACCCAGAATGAAACTGCTGTGCAAATACACACTCATGCCATTATCCTGCAGCTCACAAGTGAGTCTGAACTTGATTAAAAACAAAGTCAGGGGAAACTGATGCAGCAGGGGTCAGGGAAGCAGTGATGGATATACAGGCAAGAGCTGCAGGAGTGGAGGGGCAAGTGTCTTCAGAGAGCAGGAACCTGCCACTCTGAAAAAAAATGAGTCTTATAGTGAGAATCCCAACATCGTCCTGTCAGTGATCCCAGCCACCCATGGAAAGGAAGGAGGTTTCACATCCTGAAGGTAGACAGCTTCATGCTGGTCTGCCCTGAGGATGAATTCACTCCAGACTTGGGAGAGACACAAGCAGCTCCTTGCTTGACAGAGATCTGGTGCAGTTTCAGCTGCAGGAGGTGCTTCCTGAGCAGAGAGGAGCGAGACAAACTAACCTCCCCATATTTGAGTTTTGCTCTTGGAATTTTGCCCCACAATGGAGCCAAAGGTGGGTCAATGCTGAGGGTGCCCTGGGATGCTCAGAGGGGAGCAGAGCCACCCCATGGGTATACAGACTGGCCCGGGGAGGTGGGTGTGCTGTTCTGCCCAGGCCAAGGCAGGACCCTGAGATCAGCTCAGTTGGTTAAATCCTGGTGCTGGTAACATCAAGGTTGTGGGTTGGGTCCCCGTGTGGGCCACTCACTTAAGAGCTGGACTCGATGATCCTTGTGGGTCCCTTCTAACTCAGAATATTCTGTGGTTCCATGACGGGTGGAGTTCATCCCGCCTTGAGCAGCGCTGTGCAGCAAGCAGGAGAAAGCAAATGCACACAGACCTCCAGTGGCCCTCCCGAGTACTACACGGCACTGTCACTGCCACCCCAGGGACAGAGACCTCGCCTGGGGCGTCTCTTCTTCCCCTGCTACTGCAAGTGGGTGAGCAAGAGCTCATGTACAGAGCGAGGGGTTCTGTAGGAAAGCAAAGAAGTATGGGAGAGATAGTCCTCTCCTCCCTGCTTCAGCGGTCAGTGCTTCGAGCGTAAAGTTGGCTGAGGCTGCAGGTTGTACTTCAGATGTGGGGGAGGAAGACAGGGGGCTGGCCCGGGGCACTGCTGTGCTGCCTTTCCTGTGCTCTGTTTGACTTCTGGGGCCCAGAGCCTGCAGCTTGTGTAGGAGGGTGCTGTAGCCACCGACAAACCTACACAGTCCTAACGTGGGTCTGGGACCTGGTGTGGGCTCAGCTCGGCTGCTTACAGGTGCCCCCTGAGCTTTGGAAGCACAGGGCTTCAGAGCAGGTGAGATACTCAGGGATTTAATTTCCCAGACTTAACCATGTGCTTTCTTACACTGAGAGACCAACACTCTGAAGGCTCAGTGGAAAACATAGTAAAGGGCCAAAAAAGGTCTGCCCTAAGGATTTTTGCAGTGCATCGCTTGGACAAGCACCACACATAACCTACTGCCCACAGGAAAGGGTACAGTATGGAAACTCTGTGCTTCCCTCCCATTCCTCCTTCCCTCTTTGAGACACACAAAGGCTTTCCTGTGCCATCCTCCTCCTAGTGTTCTCATCCAGACAGGCACAAGACTTGAAATCATCAGCTTCATGTGATCTCATCAAAACCCTTCTAGCAACCAGCAGTTCTTCATGTGTCTCTATTGCAAATACCTCCATAATGAATGGTTACTCATTTACAAGGTAGTGCTCTACGTGCCAGTCTGCAGACCGTGGGGGAAAAAAAATGTAGCAAAATAAAACTCTAGGGTTTGGTGGTGATTTCCCAGGTTTAACAATGACCATGGAATTAGGTTTGATGCTTTTTTCTTTTATCTACCACATGGGAAAGCATTTTTTACTTACCATATTTTCTTAGCCCAAGTCTCCTCCATGGCTTTTTCTGACTTCTCCGATGTCCATCACCTTCCTGCCACACCCTCTGCAAGAGGCAGAGTCATCTCAAAATTCAGCACAAATGATTTAGATACCAAGGAGGTATCTTGTGTGGCTTCAACAAACAAGGGAAAAACCAAGAGCGGGGCTGAACACAAAAGGGAAAAACAGAGGATTTGAGTTCAAGGCTTAGTGTCTAATTTCAGCACGTCTGAGCGAGGATTGAAGCCTGGTAAGAAAAACCTCCTTCCTGCTGTCCCCCATCCACCCGCTGGTGCTCCCTGGAGAATTTCTGCTGACTGCTTCAAAATTCAATTTCTGCACTAGCAGCAGCACGTTGGGCCTGGCAGTAATTGCTTCGCCACACAACCAGCTGCTCATCACTGTCCGCGTGCTGGGGGGCTGGAGTGGCTGGGAGGTGGTGCCGGGACAGTGCCATCAGTCACAGGGCTGCAAGAGGCCCCATGCTTTTGGGTCAGCACCCCCCTGCACTCATCTGTGCCTCCATGAGCGGCACACCAAGGCTCAGGGATCAGTGCCTTGCTCCGAAACAGGTTGGTTTTGCTGAGAGTTGAAGCCTTGAAGCAGCAGCACTGAGCCCACTGCCTTCCTTATCCCATCTCCTCCCATCCTGCCTGGTCTCTGCTGCATCCTCCCAGTGTACACTGGCATGCCCAACCTAGCGGGAAAGCTTTTGGTGGTCCACAGGGTACCTTGCTGATGCTCACCCTCTGCTGCTCCCTGACTACCCTGTGCTATTTCCAGCACATCTCCAGAAAATAGCTCACTCCCCCCCAGCACAACTGGCTCTCTACAGCTGGGAGCAAACTCAGCAGTTTACCAGAGGGATTCTGATTCTTATTTTAGTCTCCTATTTTAGCCTTCTTTTTCTTTCTATATTTGTTAACTTAATCCTTTTTACAGCCCTGGGAGCAAGATGCTGCCAGTGCAGCATCACAGTGCCCACAGGAAGACTTCCTGGCTTCACAGCCCCACTCCCTGCAACCTGCTTTCCTCATCTTTCCCTCATGAGCCTCCTTTAATTTGGGCAATAAAAGATGCTCTAAGCTAAGCAGCTGCTTTTTATTACTATTATTATTTTTAAAGCTGCAAACATCACCCTCTCTTCAACTACAGCAGAGAAAGTGAAATGGCAAATGAGGTTTGGGCATGCCTGTCCAGGGTGGCAGCGGTGGTGTTGTTTGGGACTGAAAACTCCAGAGTCCTAATATAAATCAAAACTTGAGTTATATTCATTGCCTTGCAAGTTGCTCCATCTCCATATCCCTCATTGCAAACAGCCCTTCCTGAGACCATGCTTTGGCACGAGATCTGCCTTGAATCTGTTGTGTGTGGAAACCTCGTCACCAGAAAATCTGTGTGTAACATCTGCGGGTCATCTCAGTTTCCATCCCAGTGGATGGGAAGAGGATGGTATGCTGTGGTCATGTGAGTCTCTTTTCAGTTGTTTTAGCACATCAATGCACTGGTACAACCAACCCAGATGACATCTGTTATTCCTGCAATGCCAGCTATGTATCATCTTGACTCGTTTTCTATTAGATCCAGCTGTTATGGCTGATATGCTATTGACCTTTTCAGCTGGTTCAGCACTTGGCTATCAGGAGGTCACTGGATGCCACTTTGAAACAGGCTCAGTGCTTACAGCTATTCTTCTGGGATGAGGAGGAATTTCATCCACCTGTTTTGAGCACAAGCACCTTGAAAGATCAGCTGGCCCTTGCCACCAACACGAGGTCACTGCCGTATCTGCAGGCTTCAGGAAGCATCAATAAATCACTCTGGCCCTGAAGTTTCAGTAATCTGTGTAGTCTGGAAAGCACAGCTCAGCAGCTCATGCCCCCCCCTCTTGGGAACCACAGGTTTCATATCGCAGCAGGACCAGGTCCTGACTTCAGCTTTGTTAGGTAGGAGTTGCCATAGTGATAAAATACCTATTAAATATCATGTAGCAGCCTTGCTCCTTGTGAAAGCATGGCCAGGGGTTGGGAAAGGGGAGAGGACAAAAAGGCAGGGTGAGGGACTGACCAATACACATAATCACAATACAGGAGACAGGAGCTAAGCAGAGCATGAAACGCTGGGAAGCAGTGTTTCACGGAGTGGTTTGCTCTTGTGGGCAGTGATTTATCAATCACTGTAAATCTAGAAAGAAAGCAACTTTATCTTTTAATTTTGTCCATCTTTTTGCCCATGTTCAACCCCTAAAACGGCACTTCTGGCTGAGATAAAGCTAGAAGTTAAGGCTAGAAGTTATGCAGACTTCCTTTGCCAAGTAAGGAACAAGTATTTCCATACTACTCCTGGTCAAAGTCAGTCTCATCTTTCATTAAAAACCTTAGGACATGTGGAGTCTGCAGCTTTCTTCAGTAACCTAATCTCCAGTTTTATTGTCTGGTGTTTAAATCTTCTGCTAGTTACTTGTCATTTCTAACTTGAGTCACTTTTGCTGGATATTACTCCAATTACATCTTATCCTCCTGTCAGGACCTGAGGGACAGCAACTGACCACCTCCAGCTTTACAGCAACCTTTTATATGTTGGAAAATTATTATCTTTTGGCATTTTAACCTCCTTTTCTAGACTAAACAAGGCAAATTCCTTCAACTTTAGCCATAGAACTTCTTTTAATTTAGAGCATAAGGCTAGGCTGATGTGCTTAGGTTAAGACTGTGAGGAAAAAGTCCCTCTCCTCCTCACTGCAGTTGTGCTGGCAAAATCATCAAAGCAGATGCAGCAACATCCGTGACGTGGCCTTTTGTTTGGTGCTTTTGTAGTCACAGCACAGAGAGGCTGAGTCAGCACAGACCTTCTGCAGGAGTTGCTAGCCAAGACTCATCTGAAACCTCAACCTCTTTGTTGAAACCACTGTGTATTCCTGCCTTGGTTCCCAGTGGCACTTCCATGGCCCATCTACTCCAGGAGGCTTCCTGGGAGAGGGCACAATCTGTGTCTTTGCCTTTCAGCTTCACTGTTGTTTTGGCTACTTCTGGTGCTGTGTACAGGGAAAAAAGTGAAGCACAGCCTGTCCTGCAAGGCTTTTGCTTGGTCTTTGCTCAGTGCAAAATCCTGTGCAACATTACTGTTACAAGGCAGCCTGGGCTGGTAGTCCATCCTTCTGGAGGATCATGCCTGGACACCCTTTTCTTCCCCTTCCTGTAGGGAGGAAATCTGCTCTCCTTGGGTTTTCCCCACGTTTCCTTTCCTCTCTGTAGGTGACTTGTGTGACTCTTGTGCTGTCACAGAAGGCCACCTGGGCCAGACATCCTTCACCTTCTGGGAAAGTGGGGGGTAGAATAGGACAAAAGGCAAGAAAGGTCCCAGACAGCACATCCATACCATGGTGAGGTTTGGTTGGGTGTGCACTGAATCCCCCCTGGGCCCCCAGTGATGAAGGTAAGTTTTAAAAACTTCATCTCTGCTTTTGACATTCCCCCTCACGTCTCAGAGGCCCCAAGGGGAATCCACGTCCTGCTCAGGGACTTCCCTCTGTGGCCCGTGGAAGGCATAAGGTTGTTTGTGGGCTGGAGGGACACACTGGGAACAGCACGTTTAGCTCGTTTTGCTATCTCAGTGGGACTGATTGTAGGGAACAGCTGGTCCAGCCAGGAGAGAAGTGCGATAGCAAGATGCCAGATGAGTAAGACTGAACAGAGCAAGTCCCAGCTTGCCTGTCCCTTCCAACAGATCAAACCAAAATTGACCCTAAGCAAGTCACTTAGATTAGAGGCAAATGAAAGTCAATGCCCTAATTTTCGAAAGGCACCTGACCCCACAGGAAAGGATCTGTTGGAAGTACCCAGCACCCTGTCTCTCTTGTACCCTGCCCTGATGCTCAGAGACTCCAAGGGTTTTTTTAGTGTATTTCTAATAACGCTCAGTTTTTCTACCAGAGGCAATCCCTGTTGTAAATCCTGGTTGTAAATCCTTGTCAAAATTGTGATGGGTATAGGTCCTACAGCTTCCTCCAGGAACATCCACCTCCTCACCCCAGAGGCATGTGGCCATTGTAGGGGACACCCCAAGTCTGCTGGTGCTTCTCACCTCAAGGCACTTTGCAAACCTTTGCCTTTCCCTCTTAAGCCAGCCTTGGCTCACTGTGCGTGGGAGAGCAAGCTGTCAGCCACTGAAACCTCTTGCCAGAGTTTCATT